AACGTTAATAAGAGTGATACTAAACTGTCTTTGTCAATGTCATTTGATAAAGATTAAACGATTTATCATTTTAAATTAATGTTAATTAATACAAATCAAACCCTCTTAGATCATTGTAATGTGTTTTATTTGTTTGTGTTAACAAAACAGCAACAACTTCAGCAACAAACCTAGCTAGAAAAATAACATGTGATTTATTTAAAAGACGAGAAATTCTTGACCAATCATACGTGGCAATGATTCACGTATTGATATATTAAAATGTAAGTCTGCAGTTTCGATACTGCCTTTACTCTTCCTTCGACTTCGACGATGATGTTTTTTTTGACGCTCTCAGTCAAATCAGGAAACTGTTGCGCTCCAGATCACAGCGCTTTCTCAGAAATTCATTTTAGTTTTTGCTTGACTGGAGACATTTAATAAACAGTAATTTTCAAATGGCTTTGCGAAAACCCTTCATTACAGTCCGCGAGCAAAGTTCATGTGCGGTAAGAATCTTTGCTGGTTCATTACGATACAGATATTCAGAAAACATGTAAAGAAAGGTGTGTATCCAGTCATATCTCTCTATATTTATGTTTTCTTTCCGTGCTTCGATTCACTATAGCTGCTGTACAAGCTGATATTGTTAAAGACAATTTACAGACTAAAGATGTACAACAGCAGCAACTCAGTGAAAACAACAACAATGACGACGACGAAGAAGAAGAAGGTATTCATGAATCTCAAATAAATCATCAACAACAAATACAACAAAATCAAGATAATGATGAAGATGACAGCAGCAGCAGCTCAGAGGAGAGGGAGGAGAACAACGAGTTAACACAAACAAGTAAAACACATTACAATGATCCAACAGGGTTTGATTTGTATTAATTAACATTAATTTAAAATGATAAATCGTTTAATCTTTATCAAATGACATTGACAAAGACAGTTTGATGGAGAAAACGTGCATGACAGCCTTTTATCATAATATTAAAGATCAAAATAAATCTATTCAGCATAAACACTGCCATACTACTCCGGATACCTGGTGCTCATTTCATAAATCAGAATATACAAATCAACCAGAAAGTGGTGATAAAGTCAAGCAAAGATTAGATCCTGTATTTCATGATGTTTTATCCAAAATAATCGAGGATCTGGCAGACCCTGAACTTCTTCGTAGAAGTTTACGTGGGCTGACTCAGAATTCGAATGAGTCTCCGAATTCCGCGGTAATTATAACCGTTTGTTCACCATGGCATTCCTACTACTGTTCTGTGTTTAGATATGGCCTATTTTGTCTAAATCAAAAAATCATAGCTTTATTAGTGTTAGGGGTGCAGCAGCTGAGGCAGTTATCATTTTCAATCGTGGTCCTGTTGATCTGTTACCATTTTTCGATACATTAGGATTAAGTGTCAATTATTCATTATTGGACAGTTCATTAGCAAAAGATTCAAAACGTCTTGCTAAGGTCAAGTCTGTAGTAGCAAAACGAGAGACAGTAATTGAACGGAAAAAACAAGCTCGTTCAAAATCACTGACAGTTGAACATGATATTTCTTAATATGGTGCAGGAGCTCATTAGAGACATCAGTTTTATATACTTGCTTTTTTTGGGCGTTAACAGTATTGAATTCAGTAATTTGCTATGTTTTTTGGAAATAAAGACTATGCTGAGATTCTTAATGGAATAAAAACAGACTTAAAGATGGCCTGCCTTGTAGCCCGTGAAATTCTCTACCAGATGAGGTACTACTTGAAATTTTTCGTTGAGTCGTTATTTTATAAATGGGACTTTAAGCTAGTACAGTAGGCCAAATTAATGTTAATTAGTACTAATTAGTCAATAACCGGAAGGAAAGAACAAAAATATTTACATATTTTCTCATCGTAAATATTCTCCACACATTTCTCCGTCGATCTAGGCAAGAACTAAGTTTTCATGATGAATGGAAAATTGATAGAAAATTTCGTTGCTCAAAAATTTAACAACATTTTTTTAAGTAATTAATTTTTTTCTCAGTTAAATAATGTAAGTAAGCTGAGAAAACTTCAGAACATATACTTTGAAGTATCCTCTACAAATTGGAAGGGCTTGAAGCAAAAGATTAAAACCTTGAAAATATCACTAGTTTTTGACTCAGCGAAGATTTTTCACCCCACCTTACGGCTAGCTTCGCTCGAAGCAAGCATTTTGAAACAAAACTCTGGATACAAAAGTTGTTCAGAATCAAATTCTGCAGTCCCTTACGAGAGCTTTCTTTTTAAAATTTTCTGGTTTTGGTATTTAAATTAAATTTTACGGTTTTTAAAATTTTAAAATTTCATTTTTTTTGAAAAAGGCTTTTTTCAAAATACTTTTAGCTCTAAAATTTCCTCGGGGAGGTGAAAGTTAAATTTCTCCGTCAAACTTCATTTGAGAACGATGTAAAGTTTTTCTCCTTATACAAGTTAATGTTCTCTATCGAACTACGCCAGAATCAACTTTTCATATAAAAAGTTGAAGTTTTTATTGAAATTCTAAAAATAGGACAGAAAATCCGAAAAAAATTTCAAAATTTTTTTAATCAAAAACTGCAAATCCGGGAACTGAAAACTTTGTGGAGACGTATACTTCGAAGTGTCCTCTACAAACTGGCGAAAAAAAACAGATGGGGGGGACCCTCCCTTAAAAGACAAAAACAAGCGTTGGTTTGAAACCTTTAACGCGTTTTTTTGGCAACCTTTTTACCCCTGCGAGTATATTGGACGATATAAATAAAAAGACTTTTTCTATTTTTAAGCTTGACATATAAAGCATACTTCGATCAACGTCATCCAATACTTTTAAATAATGAATGATTGAACATAAATGACTTTTGAAATCGTTATCATTATTCACCATTCTCATTTACCTAAACAAAAGAAAAGGACTCGAGATCTTCGTCCATGTTTAGCACTTAACAAAATAAGATCTATTTCTTTTCTCCATTGTTCTATTATTTTCGTTTGATTTGCTTGAATTAATGTAATTTATTTGTATAATTCAGTTAATGAATCACTTATTCTTTTCTTTCTTTCTTCTCTTCTAATGTGATTTACCTACGTGTAATCTATTCATTTTACTTTTAAAAAAGATATTCTACTTTTTTGCTCTCTTTTAAACTACAAGACAAACCACTTATGAAATTTGTTGGTAGAGCAGTTGGAAATAAGTATTTGTAAATCGAATATAGAACTGCTATGAATAACATGACTTTCAGTCTTGAAAATACTTTATTCGAGCTTTCGCCAGCTTCAGTTGGCATCATCAGGAATGTAATAGACATTCGAACAAACGATGGTATAAAAAGAAGCGAATAGATAAGAAGGATAGAACAGAAAAAGAAGAAAAAGAGAAATAACTCAAGGAGAACTTGTAGTTGGCATAGCTGCACGTTTCTTTCTTTAAATTCATTAGTTCGTAAAGAGAGTATTTTAACACAGGAGAAGTTAGGAAAAGCAATAAATGACACAGATCACATATTGCAGGTGTTCGCCTA